CTAGATGGAAGTGAATGCTGAAAGATTAAAGAGTAGACCTGTACCACCCCCAGTATTACCTTTTCATTGATGTCTTCATGTCAGTCTTACAACTGGTATATTTTTAGTGAGGGAGCAGTACTTCTGAATTGCTCAAGGTGGATTTCTCTGTGTTAGTTTTTTAAAAAGTTGATTTAATTGCTATTGTGCAAATCAGACTGAAAACCAATTTAAGATGGTAGCCCAACTTTAGTGAAGTTTGCCAGGGCAACCTGCATTGTATTTTCAATCAGAATGAGTGGAAATGTAAAAACCTTTATAGCAAAGTCTTTTTGAAACTTAATTGTGCAGAGTATGATAGGATAGCAATTGCTGTCCCACCTTCTTTTATCTTTTCTGTACTTCTATAAAAAAAAAAAAACATGTGCAGGCAGTCTTCACCAAGGCTTAAAATGAGTTATGTCTGAACTTTTGTGAATCATAAGTAGGTAAGTTGTATGCAATGTACATGTTTGTAAAACTAAAAGATAAAACTACAAACCTGCTATTTCAGACTAGATCAGGGAGTGGCTTTTCTAATGCTATTGCCAGTGTTATTTATGATGGTTTTTGCTTACTTAAGGCTTATATTTTACCGAGTCAGCGGCTTTCTACTTTTTCAAGCTGGAAGTGCTGAAGTCTCCGCAGGGTAGAAACAGTGTTTGGATAAATAATCTAGGATATGACTTTACAACTGTCTGTTAAGCTGTTCCAAGTCCATGCTGCCAACAAGAATTGTGCTCCTGAAAATGTGTTCCTGCTTTCTCCTTTGTACTAGTGTTTGTATAGTCAGTCATATCTGGGAATTAAATCAGCTGAAATTTTTTTTTTCTGATTCCGTTTCCAGCTGCATTGGTTTGCAGGCTTGACTTGATTGTGTAGCCACGAGTCCTAATGTCAGCATTGGGGATGAAGAAGAAATACCAGGTGCTTTTGCAAGTAATGGGACTTGCTATTTCAGCAGTAACACAAACTTAAGCTGGGTTATGTCACAGTTTAAAAAGAAAACAAAAAAAAGAAGGAAAAAAAACCCCAGTCAAATTCTCTTTTACAGTTTGTACTTTGTACTTCTGGAAACTTTTTTAAACTGAAGAGACTATAAATTATTAAATGCTACCAATACTTCAAATATTGGAATATACTTCAAATACTGTCAGTGTGCTGTAATAAATACCATGTTTTTCCAAGTCGCTTTTATTTTGTTTTCATTCATTGAAATTGTGCTCACTGAAGTGCATGTGATTCAGGCATGGAAGGGTTGGAAAGAAGACTAGTTAAAGGAAAAAATAGTGAGTCTCATTCTGTGAATTAGTTAATACTCATGGTGATTACTTGGTATGTGTCTGATCAGAAACTTTAATATGGTAGTCAGGTTTTTTGCTTTTTTTATCAGAGTAATTTGAATGGTATAAATGCGCAATTTATAGATCTACTTGCAAGGTACTTAGCATTTTAGAAAATACATGTGTTGATTTTATTACTAAGTTGTGGAAAAAGGTTTAAGGAAGCAGTTTGAGAAGGTTAGAAACAAATAGCTTGATGCCACCAAAAGGATAGGTCATTGTCTTGTGTTCCTCCTTCATCAGCAGGCACTTGATCTGACTTCCTGGTGGGCTGATTCAGTACCCTAAGCTGTCAGAAAATAATTTGCGTTTTGCTGATGGATTAGTTTCCTGCCAGCTTGGTGCACTGAATGAGCCCACAGGGTCAGCGCGAGGGGCAGAGGTGGTGGGGGGAAGCTGGGCTTCTGTGCTCATGGTCTGTTGGCTTGATTTTTCAAAACACATTCTTCTCTCTTTTTGGTGGAGTTTGGAAACTGTTGTGGAAGGGCATTGTTCTGCTTTCCCTCTTGAGTGGATTCCCAGCCCCCCCAGCAGTGATGTGATCTGGTGATCGTATGCTTCAGGGGGAAGAGAGGCAAAAGCTGTTGTTTTTCTGTTGGATCAATTGCTAAATTCAGTAGTAGAGAGGTTGAACGAATGTGAAGTGAGCACAGTTACACCTTGAATAAATCTGACTGCAGATTTGATAATGTGAGGCTGTACCTTTCTTTAGGAAAACAAGTGGAAATACAAGTTTATAGGGATTTAGGATTTTAAAAATACGAATAATTTTGACTGTATCTTACATTGTTAAGTAGCTGAAATCTGTAATGTCTATTCCCGTGAGGAAAAACTGGATCTCAGAAGTGCAAAGAACACATGGTCCTCACTTACATAGCTTACAACTGCTTCTGCCCATGGAAACCTTTTCCATCTACTGCCCCCCAAATAATCCTGTTGTGATGTTCCCTGCTTATAGAGTGGATGGCTGTAATGCATCTTTATGAATGTGTTAAAAATATCATCCCTACAGTATTACACATTGGTTTTAATATGCTTAAAGTATGGAAAGAATAATTTGGAAACCACAAGCCTGGACTTCAGGACTTCCACCTGAATTCCAGTAATGCCTGATGAAGGGGAAGAACTGTTGGTAAAGATCAAGGGATCTGGTGGCTTTTAAAATCTACACTTCACAAATTCAAGGTTAGGAAAAAAAATGGTTATTGAACAGTGAACACCAGTCTTGATCTGCTTACCAGCAGTGTTTGAATATAGGTAGGATAAAGAAGGTTGTTTTTTCTCTCTTTTTCCACATGTCATGACAGGAGCCTACTTTGGCATTTTTAAAAAACTTAAAATTCACAAAGTGAAAGAGCAAAAAGTAGAAAAAGAAAATGTATCAAGAACAACAAAACCAGCTAGTAGAAACTCTCCAGTTTAAGTGAGCTGTGGGAGTGGCTTGTGTGGACGCTCAATCAGTGTCAGTATAATGGGGCGTAAACTAAGTTCGGAGTGCTGCAGGTTCCTGGTGTTTGAAATTTTGGGTAGGGAGGATTTCCTGGGGGTTGGGGTGGGGAGGGTAACAACTTTGAAATTTTAGGGCTTATTACCAGTCTTAGTAATATCCGGAGCAGGTGAGGTGCAATGAATTCCTTTGAGGCTGGAAGTAATAAAGAAGTGGCATAATCCTGTAAAAATCCTGAAGATAAAGGTTTCGAAGAAGGATGATCTGGAAACAAAACGTGGATGTTTAAAAGCTGGAAAATGTTGTAAAGTCCAAAGGAGCTAGATGAAAATAAGCCAGCTGTTTAATTTTCTGGTTTAGATAGACAGTTGTCTTAAGCTTTTTTTCTTCCTAAGTTTCTTCTCAGATCCTAGGTGTCCGGTTCCACATCAATCTTAACACAATACAGCAAAGATCATCCAAAAAAGATGTATCAAACAGATGAAGACTTCAGTCATTTGCTTGTGCTAATACCATTTCTCTACTGATTTCTTCAAAGCTTATTGACTTCTAAAAACTCTAAAAAGGGTATGGGGTATGTTTATGGGCAAGATCCTCCCTGCTGCTTCCCTCCCATCGTGCATTTCTTGTGTCCTTTTCAGTATTAGACCACCTCTATGTGGACATGGCTCCTTCTGTCTAACCTGAATCTGTCAAGTGTTATGTTTCGTGAACGGAAGTATTTTTCCCCGGATGAAGAACAGCCTTAGTTCTGGTTTTTTATCCCTTCTTCCATCTTGCTTTGTCTTAACTCTTTTTAAGAGTTGAAGGCGACTTACGGCTAAATTAATACATGAACTCAGAACTCATCGCCATGGATTGTTTTCTTTTGAAGGTAGTCATGGGTTTAGGTTAAAATTGTTATTTGTAATTTAAATTAGTTCTCCATATTTGCACTGCCCTTTTCAGGGTTAGTATAGGAGGTGGCTGTAGTTTAGAACACCTCCTTAGACATTCTGCCAGAGAAGAATATGGCCTTGATCAATTTTACTTTATTTCTGTTGCTCTTGGTATTAATTGAAAATCTGCTTTATCCTGCAAGTTGTGTCCTGTCCCCCTGGTATTGTAGGGTAGGCAATTGTAAATAGCTAAACTTTTTTTAAGTTGTATGGAAGTGGTTTAAGCACGATTAAATTTTGGTTTAGCAAATGAATTTCTGAATGCTTAGGATGGAACGTGCATTAAGTTGAGCATTCAAGTTTAAGAGATGTTACAAAGATAGAACAAGTGATTTTTGAGAAAAGTCTGGCAACTCTGGTGGTGTTAGTGAGCATTTTGGATCAGAATTGACAAAATTTGAAATTATTTGTTTTTAGGAAAAAAAACAGAATTCTGCTGCTGAATTTTAAATTTTCTCTAATATCTTGAAATAAATAATACCTTCTAGTGTGTTCAAACCAAGTGTTTAAGCCGTGTGACTGAAGTTAAGCGTTATACTGATAAAAATAGAAAAGTTGAAAATGCTAATTAGGTTAAGTCATTACCAAAGAAGATTACAAGTAAATAATAGAGTAGGTGGGGTATTATTCCAGAACAGTGTTTGAGTGTTTTGCACAGAATTGCATTTTCGGATGGTGGAAAATGATGATTTACTTGGAAGCATGAAGCCTGCATATGTAATCCCACTTGTGCAGGCAGTGTAGGTGTGAGTGTGCTCATAAACCTTCAAACTAGGCCTTTAAACTGCAAGAATGTCCCAAAAAGTAACATAATTGTAAGTCTTTGAAGGACCAACCGCATTGTGCTTTCTGCATTCAAAAAGCACATCAGTTAGTCGTCTCTGGCCGCAGTAGGGACCTTACTTAAGTCACTTCTTGTTGATTTTGTCTAGGTATGTGGCTGACAGTACAAAGTATTTTGAGTTTCCTAATGCTAGAATTCATTAGTAGGTATTCAGTTGATCCACTGTGCATTTGCTATTAAATATAGGCATAAATAGCGAATTCAGTTGCTTAGTACTAAGTTAAACTGAATTGACTGAATCTGTTTATAAAATAGTAGGGCATTCGGTAGATTCAATTCTTGAACTGCATATATAGTAAAAGTCCACAAAACATTTTTTTTCTAGTTTCAGTTTTGGCACTAGATTTTATCCTGGAGTTTTTAAATATTCTTCATCCTGTTCTTTTTCTATTAAGGTTAATGTTGAAGAAGGAAAATGCGGAAGTCGCCATTTGACAAGTTTTATAAATGAGAATTATTTGAAGCTCAGGAATAAGTGAAGCTGAAATTTGAAAAAAAAGAAAGTGAATGCATGCTAATTATCAGACCAGAAGTCCCACTTGTAGAATATTGAGCAATTTGTGTGAAGTGGGGAAGATGAAAGAAGTCAGAATTTGAAACGGAAGAATGAAGAAAAGGAATAAAAATGAAGTTAAGATAAGAAGTAATCTGGAATCTGAAAGCACTACGCTAAGTAATTACTAGTCTGTTTATGTGTCCCTGTATATTTTGCTAAACATGCATGCATTATCTGTTTAATAGCAAAAGTATATGCAGGGTAAAGAAGTGTCTACCAGGGAAAAAAAAAAAAAACCTTCTTAAAAATCTAGGCAGTTCTAATGCCAACTGCCCGGACACATAGATATGAATTTTTACCATTTATTTCACTGGAGCTTGTTTACAGACCTTAGGTAAACGAGAAATTGTGTACAAATTAGGCTTTCAATATCTGCGTGCAGGAATCCCGTTCTGCTTCCAGAAGCGGAAGTGCTCATGGGTCTGGCAAGTCGGGGAGACACACCCCTGCAAGATCTCGATCTAAGGAGGATTCCAGGCGTTCCAGGTCAAAATCTAGATCCAGGTCTGAATCCAGGTGAGTTTATTTCTTTTACCTCTTCCTCCTCTTCGCAAGTCAGATGGTTATGTCAGAGGTGAACTGACGTCCAATGTAGCCCAATTCTGTTTCTAGAGATAACTGGTGATTTGTGGACATTGAATACGAAGGGGCATGTGTGGTTTTAGGATTTGAAAAGATAAACTATCAAGTTGGATTTTTTTGCAGCTTTTTTAAGAGGTAGTCAGCTGCCTCAGTAGGCTTGTATCTCTGCTGATACAGTTTGGAGGTGGCCTGCCTATTAAGTCTTAGAATAATGGCTAGTTTCTGAGCATGAAGCATTAGGAACTCTAGATGCTAGTTTTTCTGTGCATTAAAAGAAATACATGCATCAGCAGATTTTCCATTTTAGGTCAGTTAATGTATTACGTTTTCTCACTGGAAGCTGATATTTCTGGAGTAGTCAATAGTATATTCCATGAAAAAGAAGCAGTAGAGATAAATGTGAATTTCAACAGACATCTGTCTGACCTTTTAAATATATATTAATTTAACTTGAAAATTAACAGGCTGGAAAGTTTTAAAGATTAGACAGCTTTCCAAGCTCTCAAAAAAAGTTGTGGAAGAAAGTAGCTTGCTTATTGTATTTGTTACGTGGCAACACAAATATATGTATTACCTGTCCTTATACTCATCTGCTAAACAAGCTGTGCACAGTGACAGAATTCTTCTTGAAACCGTTAACAGGCATAACTGAGACATAAAATATGCTGATGGTCCAAAAATAAAGACTATAAACATCACTGCTAGCCACTTTACATTGGCTTTACCAGGTGTGCCATGTAAGAGGTACATATTTAATAAAGAATGAATAGAGAGGCAGCAAAATCTGTAAATGGGTGAATGACATTATTTTCTTAAGAGTCTAGATAATTCAGCGCTGACTGCAGAAGTGAATGTGTTGATAGTTCCTTTACTTACTCGTAAGCATTCAGGTTAAAAAACGTGGGGTTTGGCAGCAGGGTTTCCAGTTGAGCTGTTCACAATGTACTTTTTATGTGTGTAAGCAATGAATTAGGCTTGCCAAAGCCTGGTGGTCAGGCTGGAGGAAGGATGACAACTCTGGAAGACATTGTGCTATTAGCAATCACCCATGATGGAAAACACTATGAAATACTGTGTTTTTAAGTCTCCTTGCAAGATCGAAGTGCTCAGTTTGAAAGGCTTTTGTGAGAAGGGAAATACTTGGGAAACTTTGACAGCAGAGGAATGGGCTTGTTTTTAATGTGTACTTCAGGCACAGTCACAAGTGTCAAATCATGCACTTCGCAATCCCCATAGTGCAAGAACAAATACGTCAAATTAAATTAATAAATACTTGGTAGAGTAATACCACTTTATAGAGTATGAAATTGGAGTGACCTCTGGAATTGCTATCATGAGAGGTTCATAGGACAGCTGAGGAAAGGTCCAGTCCAAAATCCTGCTCAAGGCAGAGTTGGCTCTGGTCTCAGACCATGTTCTCAGGGCTTTACCCAGTTGGGTTTTGAAAACCTCAGAGGACAGAGACTGCACACTACCTTTGGGGAACCTGTTAATTTTAAAATAACAAGAGAGTCAGGACCCAGCCCAGCATGTCCTTCAGCACCTTAATCCATAACCCCTAGGGATTCCATACTCTTTAAAGCACCATGTTTCTCACTTGCAGAATAACCATAATGCTGTGTAAGAATGCAATCACAAATTGTATAAAATGCTGGAAGAAGCAAATACAAGATGTAGAATTTACGGGAAACCTGGCAAATCGTTGACTCTTAGAAGAAATCACCCTTTAAATAATACCCTGGCAATTGACTTTTTACTTTTTGATGAACAAAAGTAGAAGCTTATGACTACCACAACTTCCTGAGCATTTAACAGCTGTCTTGAAAATGCCTATGGCTGGAAATAGTGGAAGTATATTGCAGAGTTAGAGTGTGTTCATTAGCAGATTGGGGCAGAATTGTGTCAAGGCAAATATTTAGAACCAACATACTTGTATCTGTTTTCAGTGCCGTCACACGTTTAGATGTGATCATGAGCAGGTCATCTAACTCTGGCTCTCAGCAGAGAAATAACCTTGTGAGAACTTTCATATTTCTTGACAGTTTCTGTTGCAAATGTATTCTTGAGTTACCAGCTTTATAAATTAAACTTTGATTTGGGAACAAATCTGTGTTCTGGCGTATTTATCAGTTGGGGAGTGAATGTACGTGATTTAAAAATCTGCTTTTATTGAAGTTTTGATCAGCAGCATAGCAAGCTTATTATCTTTGGCTGACTCTGTGAAATCTAAACAATTCTTAATGAAGGAATAGGATTTTCAGCAGTGGTGGCTTTGCAGCAAAGGAGGATAATGGCAGTATGACATTTAAGGCAGCAATAGAAGCAGTGCCTATTTAAAATAAGCTTTGTTCTCACATAATGGATTGCCTGGTTTAGAAGTGTCCAGCTCTTGTTCAGTGTAATGGGTGCATTCTGTTACCTGGAACATCCGTTCTGTGTTTGCCTTCTGGTTTTTTTTTTTTCCCTACGTTAGCGGTTGAAATGTGGCTGTATGCATGTGTTGAACTTCTTTTTTTATTATTATTATTACTATTTATTCTTTCTTTACTGTCTTCCCTGCCTTGGGGAAGTTCTCTTTTTTTACTTTCTGTTGCCAAAAATAATTCATTCTTTCTAAATACGTAGTTAGAAGTGTTGTAATGGGACACACTGAAGTCATTTCTCCTGCACGTGTATACATGCTTCATGTTGAGGAAGACAGAACTTAGCTAGCTCACTTCTGACAAGGTGGAAGGCTTTTCTTTAAGGAGGCCTGTAATGTACAGAGTGTATATTGTGCAATTTGGCTGTCTGGTGACACTTACCTAGTGAGAAATCCTGACTGCGGAAGAAGCTGTTAAATGCTCAGGAGTAAAAGCGGGTTCAGGTTAAGAGCTTCATTCATGCCAGTGTAGTTGTGGTGTTACTGTGAAACATGGTTGTGCATTGATGGTGGCTTATGGTCTTGGTCAGTACTTCCTACCTTGGCTTCCATAAACTAGAGGAAGGACATTTAAGACACAAACAAGAGTCGGAAGATTAACAATTTATGACTAGGAGCCTTTGAATATTAAACTGTTTATTGCCCTTCTTAGCCTTGCAGTGATTTTTTTTGTAGTTGTGTGGAATGCAGATTATTCAGTGACTGCCATCAGCAGGCGTAATACTCCCGTTTAAGTGGCTGCCCAGCTTTTCAACTAAGATTGTCTGTGTTGGGAGGGCTGAGGGTTTAGTAGAAGGAATTGAAGTGTTTCAGAACCCCATCTCCACATACCTAGTGCTGTCAGAAAACATTTGTGGAAGTGTTCTGAGGAGGCCTGGGCTGAAATTAGTAAGCAGTTGCACCTTTGCCTAAATACACTTGAAGTGTGAACATGTAAACATTCATGAACAGCTAATGTTAAATAACTGTTGAAATACCAGAAGGTAAATAAGCCTACTACAGCTTAATTTCTTCAACTGTGTTCAGCTTTGTTTCAGGAGCATTTGCCAGACTTCTGTGCTTGTAATTATGCACTGTGAAAAGTGTATTTGCTTTTCAGTGTCGCTGAAAGCAGTGCTATTCTGAATGCTAGAATAAGCAGAAGTGTGCACCTCTGCAATCGTACATGCTTTATATTAAGTCATATTTACTCCTGTTCCCTTTTTCTGTTAAGTCTTTAAAAGAAAGCCACCCCAACTGTTTTTACTTAAATGCTACTGTAAATGCTGTGAATATTCTAAGCATATACTGTGTCAAACCAAGATAGCCTTTTTAGAGAAAGTTAAAAGCTATTGGGGAATTAAAAGCTAAAATGGAAGTTGAGGTTCCTCTTCTGCAGTAGAAATGCTCTGAGAGCATCTACAGTGATCTAATTGTAAAGATTTAGTACGCAGTCCTTGAGAATAGTGACTGAATTGATTATAGCTGAATCACGTGGTACTGCAGGTTTTTAGGAAATGGTTATGTGGGTTTTTTGTTTGTGAATATCTGATGTATTTTTGAAGGGTTAGAAAAACCAAACAAACCCAACTGTACCTTTTTCTTTTTTTTTTTCCTCAGATCTAGATCAAGGAGGAGTTCCCGTAGACACTACACAAGATCACGCTCTCGTTCCCGCTCTCATAGGAGATCCAGAAGTAGGTCTTACAGTCGGGATTATCGGCGACGACACAGTCACAGCCATTCACCCATGTCTACTCGCAGACGTCATATTGGAAACAGGGTATGTCTGTTACAGAAGTAGATGACTCATACATAGTCCTGAACACATCCTGAAATCACTCAATTAATTGGGGTTTTCCAGAAGAACATTCTGCTTCCTGCTCAGGTCTATTTAAAAGATATTGCTGAGGTTAATTGTCATTTGGCTTTTGATAAGCCATGGATCTCCATAAGTTTGCTTAGGATTATGGGGTGGGGGTGTCTTGTTTGTTTGTCTGTTTTTTAACAGATGCCTTTAGAAGTGCTACCAGTGCAGGCTGTTGTCACTATACCTGTTGTAATAAATGAGTGAATGTGTGCAGCCAAGGGTGGGGGTAGAATTAGGAGGGAGAAACATTTGTGCTTTTCTTGAAAAGCCTGGAAAACTAAAACATTTCATTAAAAGCTGTTTTGATGGTGTCTTTATTAAATGAACATGCAAACCAGCTTGCTTTTAGCTGCTCAGGTGGCTGAGCGCGGTGTAGTGCAGGCTAAAGTAGGGGGGAAAAGCGATAACTAACACAAATGAAGGTGTGATTCAGGCCTCTGTGTGTCTATATATCTCTCCACATTCAACAGTCATCAGCCAGCCTTTGGAGGGAAAATTTCTTAAATACAGTACCTATTACGTGCTGTAAGTGTAGTTTGTACGGTACCCTGAGAAATGCAAAGTATTTTTGTGAAAGGAGGCTTGTGTATCTGTAGGTTTGATTGCAATAGTGTCTATTAGCAAGTTAACCCAACCGGAATCTCAGCAGTATCTTTTTTTCATTTTTGTTTTGGCTTGAAGCTCTGACACTCAGAACTTGTGAAAGACCTTGTACTGCAAAACCAAGAAATTTTATTCTAACACCTATCTATCTATGCTTTCTTTTAGGCAAATCCTGACCCAAATTGTTGTCTTGGCGTGTTTGGACTGAGTCTGTACACCACAGAAAGAGATCTGAGAGAAGTTTTCTCCAAGTATGGTCCAATTGCTGATGTTTCCATTGTGTATGATCAGCAGTCTCGGCGTTCAAGAGGATTTGCATTTGTGTACTTCGAAAACGTTGAGGATGCTAAGGAAGTAGGTTGGGATACAGAACGTATAGCACGTTTGCTGTGTTCTCAGTTGCTGAGATATATACTCTGTAACAGGATATAGCCTGGGGAAACTCGCTGTTTGACCTTTAAAATGGTATAGGAACCTTTAATGTTAATTCCTTTTGACTATATGAAATAATCATAATGCAAGCTAGTCCACCGTATCTTCTCTTCCCTGGCTTCTCAGGGCCTAAAAAATACTTGGCACCTCATAATCAATGTCAGAGTCTTGGTTCAAAAGATACCTACCTACTGTGTACCAGAGGAGAGAGTGGAGAGGCTATGAGATGTGGGTTCCTTCCTAACTCCACATGTGATCTGATATTTAATAACAGGCATGTTCAGCGTGGACCAGACAGCCATTTCAGAGTTCTGTGTAGGAGCGCTAGCGTGCATTCTGCTGACTTCTAGTGCTTCAGTCTGAAAGGGGGAGAGGGGGAGGGAGGGGAATCTCTTCTGAAAATAAAAGGCCAGGCAAATGCGCAGCGGCTTCCTGGTCCTTGCAGACGTCCATGGGAAACCCTAAGGGATTCAGTAAATTGAAGCAGTGTCAATACCATGTAACAAATTACGGGATTTGTGCTTACAAGTGCTACAGAATGAACAGGGAATTCTATATTCGCCAGGTGTCGAATTCTACACTCACGCCAGCCCTTGGAGAGCAGCGTGCTTATGGGCTGCAACTAGGCTTATATTTTGCACAAATTCCACTAAAGTTTCTAGTGTCGTCTTTTCCAAATTTGGCATGAAGACTTCCATGTTAGGTTGGAGCTTTGGATGTAGGTTAAGAGTGCTTTTCTGTTAACTTCTAAATGCTTTTCTTCATGTTGCGTGTTGGA